AAACTTGTGCACAGTGGGAACCGTTTTTCAGAGATTGCCCCTCAATTTTGATCAAGAGTCTCTCCGTGTCTGGGTTTAGGTAATACATTTTTGGACAGGAAAAACCATATAAATAATAATATTTCCTTCTTAGAGAGTCCCATAGTTGTTGTTGTTGTTCTGTACTATCAAGTGGGAACAGACCCACAGCTGACCCTCCAACGGGTTTGCAGAAGCAGTCAGTCACTCAGGAGGAGATTGCCCATCCTTCTCCCACGGAGCATCTGGTGGATTCAAGCCACAAGCCTTCAGCCCAGGAGAGGAAGACTCCCAGTGAGACACACTGACACCACAACTCAACGGCATCAGTTCCCTTCTGTCATCCTTTTTATTGTTATTATTATTATTATTAATTTTAATGAAACTTTACAGAGACTTAGGGTTTCCATTCATTCACTGTTGCACTTTTCTCCCTGCCCATCCCCTCTCCCCTAATTCGCTCTTCTCTCTGAAAGGTCATCATAATAATACCTAATCATATATCCCTTTTAAACAGTTCTCTCCCTCATCTGTTTCAGTGCAGTATATATTATTTATCCCCTCTTTCTCAGTGTTCCTTTAACCCCAATGCCAGTCCCGTTTTACAACAGTGGCCTTATGCAATATTTGTCCTTTTGTGACTGAGATATTTCACTCAGCATAATGTCCTCCACGGTAACACATTTTGAATAATATTGCATGAGTTCCTTGTTTTTCAATGCAGCATAGTATTCCCTTGTGTGAATATACCACAGCTTCTCTCTCCATTCATTTGTTGATGGGCACTTGGGTTATTTCCAACTCTTTGCTATTGTGAACAAAGTTGCAGTAAACATGGGTGTGCATTCTTCAGTCATCCTTATTGACAGCTTCACATGACTGTGTGGATCAAGAAGCAGTTGTCCAGAGCAAAGACACACTGCATGGTTTAGAATCAGGAAGGTTGCTGCTGGTGGAAAGAATTTCTTCCATATGCAACTAAGTCAATAAAACCACCTTGTGATTAGAAAAAAAATTTAGGAAGGGTGTGCATCAGAGTTGTATCCTTTCTCCATATCTATTTAGTCATGTAGTGAGCAAATAATTCATGAAACTAGACTCTATGAAGAGGAGTGTGGCATCAGAACCCAAGGAACACTCATCAACAACCTGCGTTATGCAGATGGCACAGCCTTGCATGCTGAAAGTGACGAGAACATGAAACACTTGGTGCAGAAGTTCAAGGACTACAGCGTTCAGTTATAGATTGCACCTGGTGCAGAAGTTCAAGGACTACAGCGCTCACTTATAGATTGCACCTCAACATTAAGAAGACAAAGGTCCAGGTGAGCTCTGGTGGCCTAGTGGCAAGAAACTGCCCTGCAATCCCAGAGGTGAGCAGTTCGAATCCACCTGAATGCTCTCCTGGAGAAGGACGGACAATCTCCTCCTGAACCAGTCAGATCTGATTTGATCGTACACAGATACACGCACAAATTTTTTTTAAAAAAAGAAGACGACAAAGGTCCTCACCACAGAACCAACCGTCAAAATGAGAGTTGTTGTTGTTGTTGTTAGGTGCTGTCAAGTTGAGTACGACTCGTAGCAACCTTATGAACCACTCACCTGAACCCTGCCCTGTCACGTGCCACCCTCACCATGTCGGAAACATTCAGTACCATTGCTGAAGTCATCCCCTCAGCCCATCTCATTGGGGGTCTTCCTCTCTTTCGCTGAGCCCCCCCATCTTTACAAGTATAACACCCTTTCCACGGAACGGCCTCACCTAGCTCCACCTCAGATTGTGACAAATTAGACATAGACCATAAACACAACCACTGAAACAACCAAGAGTATAACTAACAGCTCGGGAATAAAATGAAATCACAACGAATCCTCAGTTAACCTATAAGGCAGCCAAAGAGGAAGAAAAGGGGAGCAGGAAAAAGGTGGACCATGTAGCAAGGTGTAGATCTGAACCTTTCTGCTTCGGGTGTTCTCAATGGCCGCTCTGTGTGTGAATGATGCCAGCAGTTGCCAGTGCTTCGTCTCGTGTCTGTTGGCCATCCACACGTCTTCGTTTGTGCAGAATCTTTTCATGTCTTTTGCCCATTTTGTGATTGGGTTATCAGTCTTTATCTTGTGGGCGCCCTATCGTATTCTGTAAACTTTGGACATGAAATCTTTCTTTGGGTTTTCATTGCCACATGTTTGCCCCTCAATCTATAGGGTTGGGTTTTGTTTTGTTTTTTCACTCTAGTGAAAAAAGCTTTTGATGCATATAGGGACTTGATTTTTAGAATGTATTATTCGTCAGTTTTATCCTCTCCTGGTTGTGCATGTATGGGCTCATTTAAAGTAATTACTCAAGTATATGGTAAAGGAAGCTGCCCAAGTACAAAAGATTGTCATCTGCTCCTCTTCACGTTAGAAAGAAAGGGGGTAGACACAAATAGACCTGTTTCTTTTTTTTCTATATTTTATTAATTTTCATAAACATTTACAGAGATTTTGGGTTTCCATTCATTCATTGTTGCACTATTCTCTCTACCCTCCTCCCAGTTTGTTCTTGTCCAAATGCCACAGTGCTTGTCAAAGCCAGTTCTGATTAATCTTCTTTGTCAGTGTGTCCTTTGTCATTCCCTATCACTCCTCCCTGAGAGAGACTTCACCCTGATTCATAAGGAAAAGGGGATGGCGTATTCTCTTAGCTACTTCCTGCTGAAAAGGGACGCTGTGGGTTTCAGGGTGAAGATCTTCTCTCACTACTCTAAAGGGCCCCTTTGGCAGTAGGAAACACATAGACTATTATGGAGATTGATTTTGGAATTTAGATGCACTCTTATTGATTGTGCTTGGCTGTACATGTTCATATCCTTGAAGATGTATCATGGGGGTGTTGCAACCTAGAAGACACAAATTTGACTAACAAGTTATAAGTACATGAGTCCAAAAATTATGGAAAAGTAAAAGAAAAGATTCTTTCATTGTTTTACAAACCCTCCCCCAGGTCCCCTCCACCATGTAGCCCTCGCTCTAGTCTCCTGTGATGACAGAAATACCTAGTTATATATCTCTTTTAAACAGTTTTCTCCCTCCTCTGTTTCAGTGCAGTATACATTATTGAACCCAACAAATAGACCTGTTTCTGTTCATCTGTGCAAGATATAAGATGTTGTTGCTGTGAAATAATTTGTAGCTCCTGGGGACCCCACCTCTTCCACAGTAGAATTGCTCCAGAGAGTTTTCTTGGCTGTAATTGTAACAGGAACCGGCCATCAGGCTTATTCCTCATGTGGTACCACTGGGTGGAATTAAACTTCCAGATTCTTGATTAGCATTGAAGCACAGATCTTTTGCACCACGTAGGGACCTTGTGCAAGAGAAATGTATAAAGATGAAAACAAAAACTGAGATTAGTTACTTCATCTCAAGTGGGTGAGAAAGGGCTGTGTATGTCAAATGGTATCTCAGAAAATAAACTCCTACATCCTAACCTTGGAACTTATAAACATGACCTGTGGAAAAGGGGTCTTTGCAGATATAATTAAATCAAGGGTCTCGAGATGAACATCAGCTGACTCACACAATTAATGTCAAACTACTTAGCTTATGTGGTTACTTTTTTTTTAAAAAAATGTTCCCATCCATGTTGTTGTTGTTGTTAAGTACTGTCAAGTTGTATGTAGACTCATAGCAACCCTGTGAATGAAAGACCTGAACACTTGTACAACTTTCATCATTTCTCCAGGCTCATAGGGTTTCCAGAGGCAAGCTGTTCCGGAAGTGGATGCCACTCCTGCTTCCAGGCTTGCTTTAATCAGGGAGCTCCACCACACACTGTCCTCCATGGTTAACCATTAACACATTTGACATATTAGTGTCACACTGTTTAGCATCACAGCAACCATGAGTTACCTCTGTACAACAATGCACAGACCAGTGCTATACCACTTAGAAGAGTGGTTGACAAGAAACAATTAAAACTAGGCCTGAGGGCCGCAGATGAAAATCACCCACCTTTGGCTTGATAGCATCACTTTCTATCCACTATGCCAGTAGAGCTCTCTCGTTGTTGTTGTTGTTGTTGTTGTTGTTGTTGTTGTTGTTATTGTTATCCCATCCATGTACATTAAGAAAAAGAATAACGCTGGTTGGGGTGTGTCTGTTATCCTTCCTATGTAAAGTTCACTTAATTAACTTTACTAAGATCCGTGGGATTGATTTTCCCTAACATGTCTCAAAGGGAGCCCTGGTGGCCTAGTGGTGAGGAATTGTGCTGCCAACCCAAAAGCATGTGGTTCGAATCCAGCAGAGGGTCCACGGGAGAAAGATGGGCTGTCTCCTTCCATGCAATTTACAGCCTCTGAAAACCCACTGAAGGGTCAGCTATGAGTCAGTTCCACCTCGCTGGCAAACAACAGCATGTCTTGATGTGTGAGGAACAGAACTTACCTCTCCAACACCGCACACTTTTAAATGACACGTGCTTAGAAACACATTTTTTTTTTACCGTCATTTGCGGCAACGTGTTAACTGTAGCTAAATAAAAAAATGTGAACTTTGAAATACAGAAAAGCACATGTATTTTTAATAAGAGCTAAGCTTTCTATGATTTAGCCATCAGGTCTTCTTCAGCTCCTACCAACTCCACGTAGAGCAGGAGGGAAACCCTGCCCGCCCTGTGTCACCCTTACAGTCTCTCCTGTCCTGGAGTCCTTTACTGCTGACGCGGTCAGCCCGTCTCATTGAGGGGCTTCCTTTATTCCTTTCCCCCCCCCTCTTTTTGGCCCCTGCCAAACTTAATAACCATTTCTAGGGACTGACCACTCCTGATAACATACCACAAGTCTTTGAGATGAAGTTTGACTAAGTTTTACGCGCATTGTTCCCTATTTGAGAATAACCAGTATGCAGCGTCTTCTAAAAAAGGAAGGAGAATGTTCTGTATGTTTTGAGTATGTACACTGAACTGATTTCTCCTTGGTCTTGATCTTTCTCAGGATGTGGTGGATACACACCCCGGCCTTACGTTCCTCAAGGACGCGCCAGAGTTCCACTCCCGCTACATCACCACGGTAGGCATACTCTTTTCTGTTATTCCATAAGTCTCTTTCCAGGAAGCTTTCAAATCATTATGCAAAAGGTAACATGGGCTATAATGATTATTTTATGTGGAAGGAAAGTACAGTAAAATTGATTTAATAATAAATTATGTGTATCTATCATCTCTTATACGTGCCTAGTACTTACGAGGTCTCTTGTATACAGAATTAAATTAATATACTCATTCTCTCTGGGCTTATAAGGTTTATGTACCTTATGCTGTGCTTTGAATATTGATATCCAATTGATCTTTAGCTGACTGAAAAAGAATGTTCAAAAGCCTTTCCTGGAAAAAGGTGTGTCTCTAGTACCTCAAAGATAGAGGCAGGGGTGATAATAATGAGAATCGCTGTCTTGTAATCATGTAAAAATTGAAATTAACTCAATTCCATTTTGTGAAGTATTTTCGCACACACACTCGCCCCTCGTTTTCTCACGCACACGTCATTTCATCAGACACAGGCAAGGTATGAATTACGAATGAGCTCATGCCAGCCCGCAGTGCCCAGGACAGCCCTGTGACACATTGCCCATCCTAGATGCCAACTATCTTTGGGGAAATCCCAAAGACAAGACCAGGGCGAAAAGTCCAGCATCATATTTAAGGACACCCCCAGGCCAGAGCGCCCTTGCTTCTGCTCAGTCCCTCAGCCAAGCAAGACAGTGTCTCCGAGGAAGCGCCTCTCACGGTTGGCCCCCTGCCAGGTCACACACTCCTCCTGGGTTCTGTTTTTCCCCCCTCCTGGAAGAACTCTATTCTGAGAATTTACCTAGATTCTTCTGCTGGTGTCAAACTTTGAGATTCTGAGCCAGAAGGTGTCACCCTCATCTAAGACTTCAAGTTATTCTGGCCTGTTATCCAAATGCGAGATCACCCTGGGGCACAATCGCCTAGGCCTGGTCTCCCCTTATTTCTCACTTTACTTCTAACTGGTCTCCTCAGTTTCCCCCTCAGGCCCTACAGTCTGGTCTCCACAGAGCATCAGGCCCTACAGTCTGGTCTCCACAGAGCATCAGGCCCTACAGTCTGGTCTCCACAGAGCAGACAGTATCCTTTTGAAAATGTTAAGTCAGATCATGTCCACTTCTCGGCTCATCTCACTCAGAATGGACACCCAAGAGATCTCACCAGAGTTGTCCAGACTGCCCCTCGCCTCGTAACACTGTGCTGGGGTCCCACCTCCCACTCCTGCTTGGCTGCTCGACTCCAGCCTCTCTCGTCCTGGAGCAGACCCGACTGCTGCTTCACATGTGCTGTCTTCCTTCCTTCCTCTGCCTGCCACATTGTCCCTGCAGATTTCCACCCGGCTCACTCCCCATGTCACCCCAGTGTCTGCTCAGACAGCCGCCTCTGAGGGCAGTGTGCTCTGACTTCGCTCTGCCTTCTTCATCCTTTCTTCCCCTCTCCTCTCTGTTCCTTTTTCCTACTTGCTTGATCTTCTCAGCACTTAACCATCGTCTTAAAAATTTTTTTTCTGCTATAATTGTTTAACCATTTCCTTTTCCAGATTATAAACTTCTCACGTACTGGAACTTTGTATTTTCCACTGCACTCTCTCTAGTACAAGAATATTTCCTGGAACATAATACGGGCATAGTAAATATTTATGAATGATTAAATGGAATTATTCATGCTTAATAATTCTACATTAGCTCTGGCTGCAATCCCAACAGGAACTCTCAGGTTCAGATTGTTGACTTCTTTGTAAACTCAGGGCACTGTTAACTGTGTAATATAGAATCTCAAGAGTTAGAAAAAGAAACTTAAGATCAGCCCCAGAATTAATGAAAAAATATGTCAGAGAAAAAGCAAAACTATTTCATCTCTGGTTCCTATTGAACATTACTTAATCTTAATGGCATATGGTATAAAAGACTAATTAATACATTGTTTGCATGCTACTGTCATTTGGGGTTTTTATTACATTTTTACCTTTTTTTATTTCCATTAATTCATTGTTGCACTTTTCTTCCTGCCCACCCATCCCCATCCCTCCCCACCCCACTACACTCTTCTCTTCGAAAAGTAAAAGAAAAATTCTTACATTGTTTTACAAACCCTCCCCCAAGGTCCACTCCACTATGCAGCCTTCGCTCTGGACTCCTGTCATGACAATAATACCTAATCACATATCCCTTTTAAACAGTTCTCTCCCTCATCTGTTTCAATGCAGAATACATTATTGAACCCATCTTTCTCAGTCTCCCGCCAACCCCGAAGTCAGCCCTGTTTGACAACAGTGGCACCATGCAAAAAACAACAACAAAAAAAAAACACAAAAAACAACAGTGGCACTATGTAGTGTTTGTCCTTTTGTGACTGAGATACTTCACTCAGTATAATGTCCTCCAGGGTCACCCATTTTGAATAATATTGCATGAGTTCCCTGTTTTTCAATGCAGCATAGTATTCCGTTGTGTGACTATACCACAGCTTCTCTATCCATTCGTTTGTTAATGGGCACTTAGGTTGTTTACAACTCCTTGCTATTGTGAACAAAGCCGCAGTAAACATGGGTGTGCATATATCTGCTTGGGTGGCTGTTATGGTTTCTTTAGGGTAAATTCCCAGTAGTGGAATTGCTGGGACGAATGGTATCTCTATTTGCAACTTTTTGAGAAAGCACCACACCGCTTTCCACAGTGGTTGCACCAAGATGATTCCTTTTTATAGTTAAAAGGACTACTAGCACGTGGTCTGGTTCAAATATTAGCTTATATGTGGTTCATATACAGTATCTGTTTCCTGTTCAGCACTGGAAAATGCGTTACAGGAGAAGATGTATTGTTTCTTGAACGACTTGTTTTGTCATGTACCTTTTAATGTGGAAAGGCAGAACACCAGCAAAGAAAGTTATCACGGGGAGCTCTGGTGTCCTAGTGGCAAGGAGCTGCAACTACAATCCCAGAGGCTCACGGTTCGAATCCACCAGATGCTCTGCCGGGTAAGGAGGGACAATCTCCTCCTGTACCAGTCAGATCTCATTTGACGGTACATGCACACAAAAATAATAATAATAACAAAAGAAAGTTATCACACCAAAGAAGAGATTGTCCCCACTGTCAGGCCACCTTCTCCTCTGTTCCCAGAGCAGAGCTGGTTTGTCCGCAGAATAGGCCTCTTAATAATGAAGTATTCATAGCAGAGGTAATGAAAATAAAAGTTGTAAATAATGTCTTCTTATTACCTTTAAATACAGTTTTGCATGCAGTGCAAAGAAATTGCTAGTGAATAAAAGACTCTCCTTATCCAAATTGGCATTTTCTAACTTTGGGTACAGAGGGGCTCCCATAAGTTTTGTAAACAAAATATTAGATATCCCTTAAAGATGCCCCCACACACAGAGAGGGATGGAAATGATTGTTATTGGATACCTTTATTTAAAGTCCAAATTCTATAAAAGGTCATGAAGAAATACTTTCCAGAAACCAGAGTAACCAAACTGGATCAGGGATCCAGCCCCCCACCCACCCACTCTGTTCAATGGAAGAGCCAGATTGCCAGCACTAGATGGTGTTTGTGGCTTTACCATCTGCACTGAAGGGAGCGATCTATTCAAAATCTACCCCATTGAAAGGAACGATCCTACAGAGCTCCCAAACACTTAAAGATGAAGAATAAAAGAAATACGGTTCAACCTGGCTATCAGATTCCCTTGGTGAAAGGTTACCATAGAGTAATATACCTCATAAATTTTAATATTCTTTTTACATTTCTTTATTCATTTTCATGAAAGTTTACAGAAACCTAGGGTTTCCAGTCATTCATTGTTTCACTTTTCTCCCTGCCCACCCCCTCCCCCCAATTCACTCTTTTTTTTTTT